TGTTCCATTCGGTAACACGGTAGTCAAATCCATGCTGTAAAGGAGACGAACTGTCTTCACCCAAATGCCATTTCCCAAAGATGGCGGTACGGTACCCATTCTCTTTGAAAGTTTCTGCTATCGTTTTTTCTTCGAAGGGAAGATACTGGCGTGTTTCGGCATTCGTTAATTTCTGGAATGGATAGTTCTTCCTTCCGGGCAACCAATCTGTCAACTGCAGGCGCGCTGGGTATTTGCCAGTCATGATACTGGCGCGGGTGGGTGAGCATACATGGCAGGCTGCATAAGCATTGGTAAATCGGGTGCCTTGTTGTGCAAAGGCATTTATGTTCGGTGTTTCATAAAATGAATTGGGATTGTTGCATTGCACATCATTCCAGCCGAGATCATCCACCAGGAAAAAGATAACATTCATTTTTTTCCCAGGTTGTTGTGCGTTTGCGGCTGGTAACGAAAGTATTATTGTTACTATAAATAATAAGTATAACGACCACCTTCTATATGCACTGCCTCTCATAATCATAATATTTAAATGAAGAGTCATCATTCTTCCATTTACCTGTTTGCTTCTGTGTGTGCCTGGTTTTGTACCTGTTCAATCAATTTCCTGAATTGCATCACCGTGTCCGCCCGGCTACTGTACTGGTTATGTTGCTCCGCAGGATCTGTTTGCATATTATACAATTGATAATCTGCCGTTTTAGGGCCGTTCGCATAAAAAGTTTGTCCCCAGGCTGGTTTCCCCGGTTCTATGTATTTCCAGTTACCTGAACGCACCACAAATGCGCCACTGCCACCTGCTACCATTGTAAGCGAACGACGCACCTGGGCAGATGATCGACCGGTAATATTCGAAAGATAACTGTAACTGTCTTCACCTTCTGCGGCTGTTAATTTTTCGCCTACCAGTTCTGCAAAGGTGGCCAGCATGTCTGCATTGCACACCAGGTTATTATTGACAGAACCCGCTTTGACCTTATCGGGCCAGCGAATGATTAATGGCACGCGGTGACCACCTTCCCATGCATCAGATTTAAAACCAAGAAAAGGACCAGAGGCAGGATGATCGTACGTGATCCACCCTTTTTTGCCG